TAAAAAAGTTGGAGAAGACTCTTGTTGTAAGGGTATTTGGAGACAACATCCCATTTCAGTCAGTTTGTTTTGAAATGAGAAGGCAATGGAATCGGTTTGGGAATTTCCACATAACCAGATTGGGCCTTGGATGGTTGTTGTGTTCATTTGATGAAATAAATGTTTTGGAGTACATTTTTATAGGTGGACCATAGTATGTCAAAGGACATATAGTGGGGTGGACAAATGGTCACCATCATTCTCTCCCACATCTCTTCATGAGATTTCAGCACCTTTGTGGATTAGATTGCCAAACTTACCTTTACAATGTTGGGATGAGATTAATATATGCAAAATAGCATCTCAAGTTGGCAAACCCTATCTGCTAGATGGGAAGATGTTTCAATGGAGTAGGAGAGAATTCACAACAATGTGTGTTCAAATTTCATTGGATGTGAAATTACCTTTCGGTATTTGGGTTAAAGGATTGGCAGGAAGATTTTTTCAAAGAATTGAATATGAAGGTATTTCTAAATTATTCTTTGGATGTTGTAAAATTGGGCATATCAAAACTGTTTGTAAGGAGGCAAAAGTAGAGAATGCTAAAATTCCAGAAAATTCTGAAGTTTCGAGAGATAAGAAATTATAAGTAAATCTTGTTGATGTTGATAGTATCAATCATGTTGATGAAGATTCCGCTTATGAGCCATGAATTCAGGTCAAGTATGGCAATAAGAAACCAAAGAATTTTGTGGAAAAGAGAAATAGTAGTAATGAGTCTTCAGTGGCTGTTAAAAAGGTTTATGTTCCCAAGAAAAAAAACATAATTTACTGGAGAAAGGTAATGCTAGTTCAGCTGGAGGACTAAATGCAACTCCAAAGGAACAAGATTTTAATTTGGAAAAATGGGATGATCTGAATGAAGACATGGATGCTGCTAGAAATTTTTTTTAGACCTTGGAAGAGAAAGGTCAAAGAGTAAAGGTAATTAATTCTGAACCAACTCTTGATGTTCTATCTGATATGGATAGGAAAAATACAATTGAGAAATTGGATGTTCATGTGAATGGCTGTGTTGAAGAAGGAGAGTTTGTTGTTGGTAATATTGAAACTATAGTAGACGTTGGTTTAAAAGGTGGAGTGGAGCTTAAGTCGAGTGTGGAGGCATTCAATGTGAACTCTTCTCTGGATAGCAATATGGCTGATAATTCTTCTTCAGGAAAGAAAGTTAAACCTTGTTAAAGAATTAAAATCTCTTAGCTAGGGTAATATTATTACTCTTAATAGAAAGATGGATGGTGGTAAATGTAAGAGGAGTGGGGGTCCTTCCCCCTTGTTTAATCAATGACTTCTTTTGCTTTCTAGAATTATAGAGGGGCCAATAAGAGGGAGGCCGCTATATATCTCAAGGAGTTTATAAAAGACAATGATGTGTTTTTTATTCTTGTTGAAACAAAAATAAACACTATGGAAAATCTTCAGATTCTCAATTATTTGGGAAATTATTGGGATTCTTTTATGGTTCCTTCTGATGGTTTTTTGGAGGTATAATGGTTTAATGGAGGAAGGATTAGGCTTCTTTCTCTGTGATTGAAGTTTCTTTTTAGGTGATTATTGGTAATTTGGATGTTATGAATAAAGGATGTTGGATGGTATCTACTGTATATGGGAGTAGGAATACTCTTGATAGGAAGTCTTTGTGGGATTATTTGGAGAGATATTACTCTGATTATATGCCCTCGGTGATTGGTGGAAACTTTACTTGTGTGTTTTCTCAGGAGGAGAAAATAGGAGGGAAAAAATTCATTTTATCTCAATGTGCTAAGGATGTTAAGATATTCATGAATAATAATGATTTTCATGAGGTTGGGTTTGTTGGACCCGAATTCACTTGGTGCAATAAAAAATCTAGAGGGGCTCGCATTTTAGAAAGATTGGATAGATGTCTCATAAACTCTATAGCTATGAAATCTATTCATCTATCTATTATGAAACATTTGTCAAGAATAGCCTCAGATCATTGCCCTATTATTTTGGAGGTTTTCAAACCGCTTTTGTTCCATAGTAGAGGTATTCATTTTGAAGATGTTTGGGCATCTTATAATGGGGCTATTGCGATTGTGGAGAAATCTTGGAAGAAGTCCACTAGTAATGATCTTGCTACTTCACTAAATTTAAAGTTTAAAAGGACTTTAAGAGCTTTGTTTTATATGAGTAAAGAAAAGTTTAAAAGTATTAATTTGTTGAGAGATTCTTTGAAGAAGGAAATTTTTGAGCTTCAAATGGAGGAGGCAGAATGCTAGACTTTCTGAAGAAAATCTACAGTTACTAAGATCAAAGATAAATGAGCTTAACATAACTCTTGCTCGGCTCAACATTTGGTGGAAACAAAGAGCAAAAGCTAAGTTGATGGAAGTGGGAGACTCAAATTCCTCTTTTTTTCATGCATTTGCAAATGCAAGAAGAAACTCAAATTGGATAAATCACATCAAGGATGACAGAGGCATTGTGAAGGATGATCAATCAAAGGTGCATAAAATTTTTAAAGATTTTTTTAAAATCAAATGGAGGCATAGAAACTATGTGCTTGATGACTGGACAACACCTTGTTATGTTATTGATGGAAGTGATGATGGAAGGTTGGATGTTCATTTACTAAAGAGGAACTTCAAACAGTTGTGGACAATGTTGGGAAGAATATCTCACCTAGTTTGGATGGGATAACATTTTCATTTATCAAAGGCTTTTGGAAAATAATTCAACATGATGTTTGGTGTGCTATTAATTAGTTTCTTACAACAGGAACTATGCATCATTCATGGAAGGAAACTTTGATTGTGTTAATACCAAAGATTCAAGATCCAATGGTTCCCTCCAACTTCTGTCCAATTAGTCTTTGCTTGACTATTTATAAATTAGTTGCAAAAATGATGTTGAAAAGAATGGAGACGGTTATTCACAAAGTCTTTTCGATTGAGCAAGCTGCTTTCATAAGAGGTCGTTCTTTGTCAGAGCATGTGTAATTAGCTCAAGAAGTTTTCAATAAATTTTGATATCCAAAAGAAAAGAAAGGAATTTTGGCTATTAAAATTAATATGGAGCAGGCATATGACATTATTGGATGAAAGTCTCTAAGGAAAGTTCTATATCACTTTAACTTTACTAAAAAAAATTTGGAGTTATTATCGCAATGTGTCATGGACCCTAAATTTTGCATTTTGATCAATGGGAAAAGATTTGATTGGATTGAATCTAAGAGTGGATTTAGATAAGGGTGTTTTTTATCCCCTTATCTTTTTATTTTATGTTCTCAAATTTTATCTAATGCTTTTCACCTTAGTAGAGAGAGTATGGGGATTTAAATTGCTCCTAATTTTCCTAGAATATCTCATCTACTTTACTATGAGGATATTCTAATATTCTCTGAAGCCAACATTAGAAAAGTTTAAAAGGTGAAGAATATTTTAACTAAATGTTGTAAGTGGTATGGTCAAAAGGTGAATCATAATAAATCAATGATTTTATTTGGAAAGTTTGTCAACCGGAGAAGGAAGAAAGACATTGTAAAGGTATTTTGGTTCAATGTTGTTATTGAATTGTGTTATCCTAGTGTAAAGATAACAATAAGGAGGTCACTTTTAACAAATTGAACAGTTGGGGTAAGAATTGTATTTCTTTGGAAGGGAAAATGGTGTTGGTAAAATCAGCTTTCTTATCTTTACCTATTTTTTGTCTTATATTTCTTTGGTTCCATTGGGACACTAAAGGAGTTTGACAAAATGTGTAGAGGGTTTTTGTGGAGTAAAAATAATGGGAATGTTGGAATGCATTATGCTTCTTTGGATTTGTTATGCAAACCAAAAGAAAAAGGTGGTCGTGGTCTCTTTTCGGCTGTTTCTAAAATGGGACTCCTTTGTGCTAAATTTTCTTTGGATTTCTTCATGAAGGATGATTCTTTGCTCAACCCTATCTTAAGAGCCAAATATGGCACTGATTTATGGAATTATCATGTAACGAAAGGGTGTTCTTCAACTTGGAAAATCTTGTGCAATGGTGCAACATATCTTAGAAATATTATAACATGGAGAATCTCTAATGGTAATTCCATTAATTGTTTGCATTATAAATGGATATTGGATAAAAACATTTCTAAATGGCCTACCTTTGTAATTGATTTGGAGATCATAAATTACAATCTATGCTACTTTATCTTGGATACTTGGAATGTGAATCATCTTCAATTGTTCTTCGGCAAGCATCTAGTGGAGTTGATTGTACATATTCCTATTTATTTAGATCAAGGATTAGATCAAATTGAACTGAAATTTAAAGATGTAGGAAAAACTATTGTTGCATTGTCTCAAGAAGCTGTGATGGGGTATGGTTCAAATTGCAGTCACTGGAAATGCATGAAAAAAAATCAAATTGAGACCACGTGTAGAACAGTTTAGGTGAAGATTATACAATGAAGCCATTCCATCCAACCCGTTCTTGCTATACAGGAGATTGATCAACTTTTGTGGATGCCCGAGAGGTTGTGGGACGTGGAAGACACCATTCACATTGCTGGGAGATGTGGAAAACAGCAGAATGTGATTGGTCTGCTAAATAAATGGGGATTTCAGGTTCCACTATTTGATGAATTTGTTGATTGTTTAACCGGATTAGGGAGACTTTTTTGTACAAATTCTATCATTGTTAATATTTATTGTACAACTATTTTTTTTTTTAGTTTGGAAGAGTAGAAATAAACTGGTTCATGGAGGAAAGGAACACATTGATGTATCAATTACGGCAAGCACGGTTTCAATGGCTACTATTACCCTGATTATTAACATTTTTTCAGACAACTGTGATGTCAACCAGCATATGCTATTTTCTTATTGGCATACTCCTCCTCCTTGATGGATAAAGATTAATGTCAATTCTTCTTTAAGGAGTAGCAATAAGGCAGGTATCAGTGGAGTGGTCAGAGATGATAGAGGCGGGTTCTTACTTGCTTTTGGTGTCTAATACCTGCATTGGGATATTGTTCAGTTGGAATTTTTGGTGGTTTGCACTTTAAGAAATGTAATTCAGGATTTGATGTTGGAAGCACGGGGTGTGATTATAGAAGGGGATAATTTCAACATCATCAAGATTCTTCAACAATCTTTGAAGAAATTGAAGAATAAAGAAAGAATTGATGAGAATTTGGCATTCATCCAAAAGTTTAATAAAGTTTCTTCTAATATTTATACTAGAGATTATAATGAATTAGCATATTGTCGTGGTAATTTGGCTTTGGGTAAAACTTTATTTTGAATGTTCTTAATGATGTAGATATTCCTCCTTCTTTCTTGTTTATTTTGAAGGAGGAATGTGAATCTTTAGTATTTAATTACAAGAAAAAAAAATCTACAAATAAGCATTCTTCTAAGTTAAAGAGGACAAGTAGAGAAGGAAGAAAATGACTTAGAAATATCAGAGTTAGTTCAGAATTATAAGCAGGGAAAGGTTTGTAGTTGCTGCTTGCTTGACGAAGAAGATAAGGAGTAGGTGATGTTGTTGGATCGTCGGAAGAATCGGATCTGCTTGAAGGATTTGATCCCAATTCAGGGAACAAGAGGAACACAAGCTTCAAAGCTTCATAAAAGAGATAATAATATTCATCATCCTCAACTCTTCTTACATCACACTATTTATAATACTCAAGTAGAAACCTAGAGAAATCAAGAACGTTCTAGAATCCTATAACAAGTTCGTAAAAAATTAAAATCAAATATTCTAAGGAACAACTTAAACTAAAATGCTCCGCATCATTTTTCTTTGAAGATAAGAGATCTTTAGAAGGAGTTTAGAGGCTTAATGTCTTATAGTATACATATCTAGGTAGAGCAAGACAAATAAGTTGAGGCAATTGGAAGAGAACAACAACACTATCAGATCTGTTATCGAACCATATTAAATGCTAAGCCCACATTGACTTGGGCTATGGAAGAATTATGAACTACTAAAGTGGAACATCAAATTCTTACTTAAATGATGACCCCCTTTTTTTTTTTCTTTTTTTGATAAAAATCTAAAGCTTTTGCCGTCTTATTTATCTTTTCCTCCTGATTATGAACTACAAATGTGATGGTGCACATCTGGCTCTATTTGTTATTAGTTTGGCTTGGCTATAATAGACGATTATAATTGCTATTGGTTTAATGCTTTGCACTTTAATGAATTTGACGAAGAAGAGAAGTTCATTTAAAGGAATTGAGCATTATAGTCAAATAATATATCAAGTTTATCTTGGTGCTTTCTCAAACAATATTGTTCCCTCATATTTTGCCTTGATCTTTCAAACAAAAAACAAGATCTCCTTAACTTTGGCCACTCAAACTTATCAGATTGTATAGGTTTAGGACATGGTTACACTTGTCAGCAAATTGATAGAACAAGACTCTCTTAATAGGGACTTTCTTATGACTTGTGGAGCTAGAAAAGATATCAACGAGATAATCATATTTAAGTTTATTGAGTTCCTTCAGGATCTAATTGAGCCTGAGACTTGAGTTATATGAAAACTTGCACTTTACCAACGTGTGTGATGAAGTTTATAGATTTAGAAAACCTCATTAACATTTTAGTCTTTTAGATCTTATTTAGGAATCTTTTTACATGACAGCATGAAATTAAAGTTTCGTTTGGGACTGTTTTCTTCCTGCTTTTTAAAGCGGCTTTCTACTACAACTTTGCAGTCCATCTTATAGCTTATTCAACAAAGCTATATTTAAGCTTGTTGACATTAACTTTCAGAACCCACTCGAAATGAGGGAATATACTTCTCTAACTTGGTTATTTGAAGCTGACAGGCTTGAAAGTCCTCCGACTTGACTTTTATAATCTTGTTGAGCCAAAGAAATAAATCTTAGGCTTCAAAGACAACTTTGCTTATAATTTGTTTGAAGACTAATTTTCTTTTTTGCATATACAACTGAACGAAATTTCATATTAACCCTTTTCGAGTATTTACTCGAGGTCGTCAATATAAAGGACAATATAAATCAATATATATATACACATATAATTTGTATGCACAGTGCCTTTAGAAATTAGAAGAATGCCAAAACTTGTTTATATATATATATACATACATAATTTTTATTTTTTTTTAAAAAAGCCTCAATCTTATAGGTGACTTTGTATGATAACTTGGATTTTCTTATATTTGTCCTGCATGAAAACATCCCACTGTCCCGTGAGCCCCGTACGCTCGCACAATCTCACGAGCCCACACGTGGCCACCCCCCGCCTTCGCGCCTGATACGTGACCCAGGCAGCCCGCGCCTTGTGCGTGCATTTGCTCAAACCTTCTTGCGGTCTCTGCCTAAGACCTCTTGATCGCGGCACCTCAGCGTTGCCCCCCTTCCAAGCAAGATCAGCCTCCCGCTCAATCCCACACAGATCAAGCATTCTCACCACACGAACCCGACCCCACCTGTTGTGCGAGCATCCTTTTCCAGCTTCTGCACGAACACCACCTTGCTCAGATGCCCGACACGCCCGCTTGATTTCGTTCCGCACCTATTCTCCTTCTTCTTTTCTTGGACAAGAACCTTCCTCCGCATCGAGATCACCTCCACCTGGCTCTGATACCAGTTGTAAAATCTTGGAGGAAGCTTGAGACTCTTTTTGAGTTTTCTTGCAAGATAGGGAGACGAAAAGGGAAATAGAGGAGTAAGCAGCCGTTGGAGGAAAACTACCCAAAGTTTTATTTCATTTTTTTCCAAAACTTTACATTAACATATACATTCTATTCATAAGAATTTACACAAATATGATGCCTCATGGTCATGGAGCAATATAATTAAAATCGGATCAATCAATCCTAACACTTATCACAATATAATTAACATGATTGACTAACTTTTACTCCAAAAATTTTATTTAGCTATTTGTTACTCCAAGAAACAGGGTAGTTCAAAATTTTGTTTGCCACTCATGTGTTATTCCGATGCTGCAAATTCAGGTGCGTTAAGCATACTCGCGGGCACCAAAAAATGAAATCCTTGGTGTGGCTAATAAACAAAGAGGTGTCTTTCTCCTAATTGAAATTCCAAAAGCTTCACTCATGTCAAGCTCCTCTCCATTCTTAGCTGGATACTCCCAATCAAAATAGTATAATAAATATGCGAGAGCCATCTCGATTGTGGCCAATGCGAAATGCATCCCTGGGCAAATTCTTCTCCCAGCACCGAAGGGTATCATCTCAAAGTGAGCTCCCTTCATATCAACATGATTCTCCTCAAACCTCTCCGGCCAAAAGACTTCCGGTTTGTCCCAATACTTAGGATCCCTTGCTATTGCCCACGCGTTCACCATCACCGTCGTCTTTACTGGAATGTCATAGCCCATCACCTTGCACCTCTCTTTGTTCTCCCTTGGCAGCAACAAGGGCGCCGGAGTGTGTAGCCGCAATGTCTCCTTTATCACCAGTTGCAAATAGCTAAGCTTGTTGCTCGTCCACTCCTCGTCTCCTATGATCTTCGTCATGTCGCAGCAGAACGCCTCTCTCACCTCTCTCTGGGCCTTCTTCATGATCGTCGGGTTGAGAACTAGCTCCGAAATTGCCCATTCCAAGGTAGTTGCCGTTGTTTCGCTTCCAGCCAAAAGAATATCCTAAATAAACAATAAATTTTATTAGTTAAGCATTAAATAACTGTTAATTTAATTTATTATTTTGAGCTAACGTTGATGACAGCTTTGATGTTATCATTGGAGAGGGAGAATTGAAGGTTGCCATCTTGTTGGATTTTGAGAAGAACATCTGTGAGATCCTCTGCTTGTAGTAAGTTTCTAGCCCTCTTCTCAATGTGCTCTTGCAGTATTTTTTCCAGTATTTGGTCCAACTTCAGCCAGCATTGCTCAAGCTTCTGTCGAAAACCAGCGATGCGGGTGATGAAATTGGGCATCGATGGGAATAGATCAATCAAGGAGAAACCTGTGTTCGACTCTACTGTTTCTCTGAGCGCCGATTGGAACAAATTCTGGTCTTTGCACCGACTGCCGATAACAGAGATTGCCATGATGTTGCTGCTGAGGTTGGAAAACTCACTGCTTAGGTTGATGTCAGCCCCGGCAGAAGCTGCAAGATTAACAGATCGAACAAGGTGGGAGACCTCTTGCGCTATTATGGTACGAAAGGAGTGGACACGCTTCGGGCTGAGAAGCTCCATGGTGCAGATTCGACGCATCTGGCGCCAAAACTCGCCATATGAAGCGAAGATGAGGCCTTTGCCGTTGTAGAAGAGAGCATCGACGGTGGGGGTGATGGGGCGTGAGGCGAAGTGGATGTCGTGCGTCTGCATGATTTCTTTGGCTCCTTCGGCAGAGGAAATGATGACGGTGTGGATCTCCCCTAGTTTTAGGCGCATGATGGGGCCGTAGATGAGGGAGAGGTCGCATAGTACACGATGGGGAAGGCGGCGGCCGAGGAGATGGTGAATGCTGCCGATGATGGGGAGGTTTTTTGGGCCTGGGGCTTGCGCGTTGGATTGGAGTCGGCGGCGATTGAGCGTTTTGGTGACTGCTTTGATGAGGAGGAATGTTAAGAATATGAAGATGGAAGCGGGGAAAAGCTCCATGCTTGCGACACAATAACGGCAACTAGTTATTGTAGATCTTAAGCGACATGAAACTCGCACTTATAGATCGTCAAATAACATTACTGCCGCAATTTTTTTTTTTTTTAGTTGCTCGTGATCTATTTTGATGCAAACTATTAATTAACTTTTTTGGTTTTCTTTTTTAAGAACTAGTCAACTCCGATAAACACAACTCTCCTTGGCGAGCTTAGGCTTCCAACTAAGAGGTTTAGGATTCGAGTCTATGTATATGTATTGTGTGTGTGAGTTTGATTTAAATAACCTAAATGTCCCAAAAAAAAGTCAACTCCGATAATTGCTTACATGCCGTACCTAATTTCTAAAATATAAAAAATTATTGCACATTTGTTTATAGTGGATACGTGGACCGGCAGCCGTCCATGCGCAAATATTGGCTGATGTCCATGCAATTAATTATTAATATAATATTAGATTTTAATAAAAAGGTTACATTGAGGACGATCAAATTATATAAAAAAATTGGCAAATTTTGTGTTTAATTTTTTATTTGGTGCTTATTGAAATAAAAAATTAAGTAAAAGTTAAAATGATCTGTTCAAGGGCGTTTTCATGCTACCATTTTTTCAAATGAAGTTATTGTGATCAGGAGTGTCAATTCGGATCAACGGGTCGAGTTTGTGTTGAATCCGATTTGACCCGTGCATAAACGGATTGATCCGAACTTGATCCATTTAGCTAAATGGGTCAGGATTTCTAACCTGGACCCGACCTACATGGGTTGACGGGTTGATTCAACCCCACCCGCAAACCCGGGGGCATAGTTGCTGAGACGCCATCAAGGATTCATGTGGACTAGTGGAGACGGAGTGAGGCAGCCTGGCGCCTAGCAGGTCTTCTTTTGGAGGTGGGGCTTGACCAGTTGACTCGAGAACACCAGCGCGAACGCACAACAAGGCTCGAACCGAGACTCGAGAGGCGAGAGCGCCAGCGCTACTAGGCAGGGTCGCAGGAGCTAACAGAACCCGGTTAGGTCGTGGGATTAAGGTTAACCAAGTTAACCCACAGGTTATCGGGTCAATCCGAACCAGACATGTTTTTTAAACATATCATAAATCCAAACTTGGATTCAACTCTTTTCACAAACGGGTTGGCCCGAACTCGAATTTTTTCAGGTCGGGTCCGTGTCAAGTTTTATGGGGCTAGGCCCCGTGGTTTTTCCCCCTTTTTTCAGGGGTTTTCCACGTAAAAATCTTGGTGTCTCATAAATGCTAGACCCTCTCTCTTATCTGATTGCGTGCCGGATTTTCGTACAACGCTAAGACGATAAACTTTATATTTCTCTACCGCCACGAATACTCCTGGACGTAACAACATTTAAGACGTTTTTTCTAATATGAATTAAACAATATTTTTTATTTTTTTTTACAACTTTTATAATCAAAATTAAATTTATATATGATCATAAATTTTAGTATTTTTAAATTGTAGTTTATTTTTTAAAAAATGTCCGGCAAAACTTAATAAATTGTAGTTTCAAGGGTTTATCTAAAAATGAAGCATTTAAATTAATTAATTATTTTTAATAAGTTTTAAATATGATAACAATTATTAAGTTTTAGAGAATAGTTTTTCTTATATATATTTTTTAAAAAATTTAAATTCTTTCAAAATAACATCCTATAAGGAAATAAAATTATATGAAAAATAATAAAATTTTGCTTACTAAAAACACTTACTTTAAAATCATTCAAACACATGAAAATATTTTGTAACTTTGCCTCATTTCTCCTACCGTTGCATATAATTGGTAATTATTCAAGCACGTGAGATTTTTAGTAATTGAAATTATTTACGAAATGATTTTTGTGTTTTATTTTAGTTCATAATAATTAGAAAAAAAATTTAAAAATTCCTTCCGAATTAAAATTTAATTTCTTAAGGAAAAATACTTTTAACTAAAAATCGTAATAAAAAAGCTGAAAACATTTCTACAAATAGTCAAATTCATTTTAAATAAAAAGGAAGAATCAGAAAGCTTCACAAAAAATAATTATTCTCTAATTATATTAAAAAGAGTTATTCTCTGATAATTTTTAATTATATTATCACAGACATGTTGAGCTTCAAACAAGTAATTATATCTTGTGTGGAGCAAAGTAGATGTGGATCTTTGAAAGGATTTTACTAACGAGGTTAGAATGTAAATGGTACAATTGTACTATCATATATGACAAAATGATCGTAGACATTTATACTCTACACAAGCAAACTAATTGAATAGCATATTAAATTATACATACGATTATCCATAGCGAATAGCGGCTTTCACTTACATATCTTGATGGATAATAATATATATAACTCGATAGTCATGAGATTTCTTTCATTCAATATATTAATTTGAATGTGGTGTATTAGATGTGGGTGTTAGTTTCACATGGGTTCAAGCCTCTGTGATAAGCAGGGGCGGAACCAGCTTCAATTTTGAGGGGGGGCAAATACAACACAAAAAATAATTAAATATTTTAAAAAATAATATGATATATCTATATATTACAAAAAGTTTTTAAAAAAAAATTAAACAAGAAAAATAAAGAAAAAAAAGGTGTAATTAAATTATCATGAAAATCATGAATAAGAATAGCCCCCCCTAAAGACTACATGGTTCCGCCCCTTAGGAACCAGTCTTTTATTTTAAGGTTGACAAATTTTACATATAATGGACTAATATTTTACAAAAATAATATGAGAATATAATTCAAAGTAAAACCATTATAATTCATAAATTGAAAATTATTACAAGCTTAATTAATAATTTATTTTGTATTTTTGATAATATTGCATTAAAATTTAATTGATAATCAAATAAAATATATCTTTTTCAATATAAGGCACCAGACAATCATTAAGTCAATCATCACCCATTCTACTACGTAATCGATATTTGAAAATTCTCATTGCATAAAATGTTCTCACCACTGTAGCAGTAATAACTGACAAAGTTAATGTTGAAGCAATGAGTTTGTAAATAAGAGGATACACACCATCATACATGAACTTAACAAATTGCTTTAAAAGATCAACAATACTGCTCAGAGAGGAGAACTTATCACTTGTACATATATCAATAATATATGTTGATCATTAACTTTTAAGAGCTCAAATCTCAATTGTTAAAAAATCACTTAGATATAACTATGCTAAATATATCAATTTTCTCTCATCTTAAATTGGGAAGGTATCCATTGGGTTTAGGCTTGCCACACAACGAAACTTGAAATGGACAAGAAGACTGAAAAATATTTCCCCAAAGAACCATATTTCCAAGTATTAAGGCTTGTGATATGGTGATGATAACAAATTTGAAGTAATCTAATCCTTCCCCAAATAACTATATTTGCTGAATTATTTTTTTCCCTCATTAAAGATACTTTGTAGATGCCATCTATTTTACACTGAATTGAAATTAGAATTAAGCTATATCCTATACGATATTTCATACTTAAAGAATAAAACAATCTAGATAGATTTTGAAGTTTGTGAATTCGACTAATGGATATAAATGCTCCAAAGAAAATAAAATTATGATGGCTTGCAATTTTCTCCCTTCAGAATCATAAATTTATCAGTTCTATTATAAACAATCACAAATTTAGAAGGATAGACTGACTCCTTTTACCTAATTGTAGTTATTGGAAAAAAAAAAAAGAACTTCTTGTTCTCTAATTGTAGTCACTAAAAAAAAAAAAAGATCAGCCATACCTTAAAAACTCCTCTTTGCACATGGCAAGCATTGGCGGTCGTAATTCGGAACCGGTTGGATGTGGGACGGCATTATTTTCAAGATTGAATTATTTTCAATTTTTAAATCACATAAAAATTTCCTCAAAAGTTGTGGTGCGTATTTTTGAACTTCTTGAGTTTTGACATCCGAAAATAGAGAGCAACTGATATATATCATCAAAAAATTAACTTGATTGAGCATGAATCTCAAGGCAAAATCAAGTTGGAAACTTCTGAAATTAAATTTCAAATGATCCAAACTCCATTTCCAGCAAACTTTTAATCAAACTAAATTTCTTAAAAATACGAACCCAACGATACCAAATCCAACCTAATCTGGCCCCAAATGAGTCCAAATCAAAAATTCGAAGCACATTTGAAAAATTTAAACCATAAGTTGGATGACCAAATGATTTTCAAAAGTGACATGCTTATAGTCAAATCGAGCAGCTCGGTGACACAAATCTAACGAGCCTATGTTTAATGAATTCTGATATCATTAACAAATTCAAATGCACAGTAAATAATCCACTATCATACGAATTAACATTGACCGTCCATTCAAACCACCTTGATTTACTCTTGATAAACCTCATATTTACTAGTCATGCCACTCTTAGAAAACTACAAATAGACCTCTAATTTATCATGGAAAGGGGACCCCAAGCAAGGAAAAGAACTCTCCTATAACCAGACTCTTTTCGACGACTGTCAAAGTTTCGCCTCACCATCAACTGTCGCTGGACTTCTGCTCGGTCGCCGACTAACGGTGGACTTCCTCCCAACCACTGAATATGGACGGACTTCTGTCCTGTCGTCGATTGATGTCGGACTTCCGACTGACAATCAACTAATACCAGATTTCTACTCAAATACTGACTAACGCATGACTTCCGCTTGATTGTTGACTGACGCCAGACTTTTGCCCAACCGACGACTAATGCCGGACTTCCACTCAACCACCAAACATTGCCGAACTTTCATCTGGTCTCTATTTGTGACTACATTTAAACACTACGGTTGATTGTTTTATTCTGACCATCCTCAATTTCAAAGAAGAATCATACACTTGTATCTTTTCAAATACTTGTCGAATCATTTCAATTGGGCGTGACCACGTGGTTTTTCATTTTTTTTAGGGTTTCCATGTAAAAATTCTAGTATTTCCTTTTCCTTCTGTTTGTGTGCTAGATATCCATAAAATGTTGAGATGAAAAATTTTAACTCTATTGCCGTGTTTAATCTAGCCCGCAACACACACACATATATAACTTGAACAATGTCTTTAGAAGAATGCCAAAACTTCTTTTTACACGCATAAAAAAAAACAAGCTTTAAACATTAAAAAAACAATCTTATAGGTGATTTTGTATGATAACTTGGATTTTCTTACATTTGTCCATTCACATGCGCCTCCACCTGGTCTCTGGGAGAGACCTCCTGATGGCGGCACCTCTGTGTTCTCCCTTCCACGCAGGATCAGCCTCCCACTCAATCTGGCATAGATTAGGCATTCTGAGTGAACAAACCTGACCCCGACTATTGTGCGAGCCTACTTTTCCAGCTTCTGCGCTTACTCCACCTTGCTCATATGTCCGACACACCCGCTTTATTTCATTCGCACACTTGCGTCTCCTTTTTCTTTTCTTTGAATAAGAACATTCCTCCACCTTGAGATCACCTCCATCTAGCTCTGATACCACTTGTAAAATATTGAAGGAAGCTTGAAACTCCTTTTGAGCCTTCTTGTAAGAGAGAGTGGGGAGAGAGAGAGAGAGAGATCAGCCTATACATTTTAATTATAGAAATTTACATAGATGTGATGTCTCATAGAGCAATATAATTAAAATTGGACCAATCAATCATAACACTTATAACAATCTAATTAACATGATTGACTAAATTTTACATTTTTTTTTAATAAGCTTTTTGTCCCTCCAAGCAACAGGGTAGTTCATTTTCTCTTTAAAATTTGTTTTCCACTCATGTGCTAGGTGTGGCTAATAAACAAAGAGGTGTCTTTCTCCTAATTGAAAGTCCAAAATCTTCACTCATGTCAAGCTCCTCTCCATTCTTAGCTGAATACTCCCAATCAAAAAAGTATAATAAATATGCGAGGGCCATCTCCACTGTGGTCAATGCGAAATGCATCCCTGGGCAAATTCTCCTCCCAGCACCGAAGGGTATCATCTCAAAGTGAGCTCCCTTCATATCAACATGATTCTCCTCAAACCTCTCCGGCCAAAAGACTTCCGGTTTGTCCCAATACTCAGGATCCCTTGCTATTGCCCACGCGTTCACCATCACCGTCGTCCTTACTGGAATGTCATAGCCCATCACCTTGCACCTCTCTTTGTTCTCCCTTGGCAGCAAAAATGGCGCCGGAGTGTGTAGCCGCAATGTCTCCTTTATCACCAGTTGCAAATAGCTAAGCTTGTTGCTCATCCACTCCTCGTCTCCCATTATCTTCGTCATGTCGCAGCGGAACACCTCTCTCACCTCTCTCTGAGCCTTCTTCATGATCATCGGGCTGAGAATTAGCTCCGAAATTGCCCATTCTAAGGTAGTTGCCATCGCTTCGCTTCCAGCCAAAAGAATATCCTAATTAAACAGAAAAATTTTATCAGTTAAGCATTAAATAACTATTAATTAAATTTATTATTTTGAGCTCACGTTGATGATAGCCTTGATGTTATCATTGGAGAGAGAGAATTGAAGGTTGCCATCTTGTTGGATTTTGAGAAGAACATCTGTGAGATCCTCTGCTTGCACTAAGTTTCTTGCCCTCTTCTCAATGTGTTCTTGCAATATTTTTTCCATTATTTGGTCCAACTTCTGCGAACATCGCTCAAGCTTTTGTGGAAAACCTGCGATGCGGGTGATGAAATTGGGCATCGATGGGAATAGATCAATCAAGGAGAAACCTGTGGTCAACTCTACTATTTCTCTAAGCGCCGACTGGAACAAATTCTGGTCCTCCCACCGACTGCCGATAACAGAGATTGCCATGATGTTGTTGCCGAGGTTGGCAAACTCACTGCTTAGGTTGATGTCAGCGCCAGCAGAAGCTGCAAGATTAACAGATCGAACAAGGTGGGAGACCTCTTGCGCTATTATGGCACGGAAGGAGTGGACACGCTTCGAGCTGAGAAGCTCCATGTTGCAGATTCGACGCATCTGGCGCCAAAACTCGCCATATGAAGCGAAGATGAGGCCTTTGCCATTGTAGAAGAGGGCATCGACGCTGGGGGTGATGGGGCGTGAGGCGAAGTTGATGTCGTGGGTCTGCATGATTTCTTTGGCTCCTTCGGCAGAGGAAATGATGACGGTGTGGACCTCCCCTAGTTTTAGGCGCATGATGGGGCCGTAGATGAGGGAGAGGTCGTATAGTGCACGATGGGGAGGACGGCGGCCGAGGAGATGGTGAATGCTGCCGATGATGGGGAGGTTTTTTGGGCCTGGGACTTGCGCGTTGGATTGGAGCCGGTGGCGATCGAGCTTTTTAATGATTGATTTGATGAAGAGGAATGTCAAGAAAAGGAAGATGGAAACGGGGAAAAGCTCCATGATTGCTACAATAATGGAAGCCATTGATCTGATCTTTAGTGTAATGAAACACGCATTTATAGATCGTCGAATAGCACATTAGTTGGTTACTCGTGAAACACGGTAAATTATTGGGTTCGAATACTGGACGTCAATGAAAATAAGTCACTTCATTTTCTATTTCTCGGAAATTGCTCAATACCGAGAAATACCGAGCTCAGTATTACTCGGTATTGTGAAGTACTGAATTCAGTACTTCATAATATCGAGTTCAGCACTACTCGGTATTACCAAAAGATAAACGATATCCGATATCCGAACCTAATAATTCCCCGTGAAACACGCATTACGGCAACTTTTTTTTTAGTTGCTCGTGATATATTTTGATGCAAACAATCAATTAATTATTTTGGTTTTCATTTTTAAGTACTAATGAACTCCAATAATTGCTTACATGCCGTGCTTAATTTCTAAAATATCAAAAATTATTGCACATTCGTTTACAGTGGATACGTGGACTGGCAGCCGTCCATGTGACCTAAATATTGGCTGATATACATGGTATTAGTAATCTAATAATCTAATATTAGATTTTTTTTTTAAATGGTTCCTATTGAGGATGAACAAATTTTTTTTTAAAAGCCAACTTTTGGGTTTATTTTTTTATTTGATGCTTAATGACATAAAAAGTTAAGTAAAAGTTAAAATGATCTATTGAAGGGCGTTCTCATGCTACCGTGGCAAGCAGAAAAAGCTTTTTTTTTTTGGGACATTTAGGTCATTTAAGGCAAACTCATACACACAACGCATACACAAGGACTCGAACCTTGGACCTCTTAGTTGAAAGCCTAAGCTCTCAACCAATAGACCAAGGGGAGTTGTGTAGCAGAAAAAGCTCTCTATGGGTCTGTTTCAGCAAAAAAAAATTTACAAGGACACAAAACGTCTTTTAGAGACCAATTAAAATGCACCGCTTCACTCTTTTATTGTACCATGGCTCGGTAATGCTTGCCCACTTGGATTTCCCAAAAAAAATGCTTGCCCACTTGGTACCGAGGCTAGGTACAACTTGGTACCGCGGCATTCTGACATAGAGCTGCATCCGACGTCTGCTCAAAATAATTTATCATGTTTCATACAATTTTATAATTCAAAATTTTTATTATTTTGGCTATATAAAATAAATTATTATCATAAAATTTATTTAAAAAAAAAAAATAAAGCAAAAAAAAGTATTCCAAACAGATCCTTAGAAAGCATTTTCTGCTTCTATGATAGTTGAAAATGACATTTAAGAGATATTTTCTAGTATGAATCAAACAATAATTATTCTTTTTTCAACTTTTATAATCAAAATTAAATTTATATATGATCATAAGTTTTAGTATTTTTTAATTGTAGTTTATTTTTAAAAAATGGCCGGCAAATTTTAATAAATTGTAGTTTCAAGGTTTTATCTAAAAATGAAGCATTTAAATTAATTAATTATTTTTAATAAGTTTTAAATCTGATAACAATTATTAAATTTTAGAGAATATTTTTTTCTTATATTTATTTTTTAACATTTTAAATTCTTTCAAAATAATATCCTACAAGAAAAAAAAATTACATGAAAAATAATAAAATTTTGCTTATCACAAACACTTACTTTAAAATCATTCAAACACATGGAAAATATTTTGTAACTTTGCATCATTTCTCCTATCCGTTCCATTGCATATAATTGGTAATTATTCCAGCACGTGAGATTTTTAGTAATTGAAAATATTTATGAAATGATTTTTAAGTTTTATTTTAGTTCATAATAATTAGAAAAAGAATTTAAAAATACCTTCCACTTAAGGAAAAATACTTTTAACTAAAAATCGTCATAAAAAAACTGAAAACATTTCTACAAATAGTCAAATTCATTTTAAACAAAAGGGAGTATCAGATAGCTTCACCAAAAAATAGTTATTCACTAATAATTTTGAATTATATTTAAAAATTATAACAACATTATTATTTTTGGGACATTTCGCCCAATTAAGGCAAACTCACACACACTTCATTTATGCAAGACTCGAATCCAAGGCCTCTTGATTGGTAGTCAAAGCTCCCAACCAATATACCAAGGTGAGCTGCGTGATTTGCTAGATTATCACACACAAATGAGCTTCAAACAAATAATTAGGGGTGTAAACGAGTCGAGTATTTGCCTTATCAAGCATGGCTGGTTTAATCCTTAATGAGCTCGAGCTCGGGAACGAGCTTGATTAGTGGGCTCGATATTGACTCGTTTAGAAAATATTAAGCTCGAGCTCGACTCGAAAGCTTGAAATCTCGTTTGATATTATAAAAAAAATAAGCTGTCAAATATTATAAATATATATATTGAGAGGATTGAGAGGATTGGTGGTTCTACTTACAGGTTATTTTTATCTTATCATATGTCATATATACACAATGTATTTAATGTATATTCTCTAAGAAAATGGGTATTTGATTTTGGTAATAATAACACATCAGCCCATGGATTCAAGAAAGGACAAAACAGAACAAGTGTACGACTAAGAAAAAGAAAGACGTTGTGTTTCAAACTAAATAAGCCTATCACCTGATTACATATGTAAATCCATTGGTCTATAAATATAGACTCATTGTATACATTGTATCTTAGCTTTTCTGATTCTAATAAATAATTCTTTATCAAGTTATGTCTCATCTCTCTCTTTAGGTAATATATTAACTATATGATATTTTTTTTGGGACATTTAGGCCATTTAAGGCAAACTCACACACACAACGCATACACATGGACTCGAACCTTAGACCTCTTAGTTGGAAGCCTAAGCTCTCAACCAATAGGCCAAGGGGAGTTGTGTTTATCTATATGATATTGATATTCATCCAAACCTATATATAATGACAGAAAATTGAGTAAATAAATTTTGATGGCCAAGGAGCAGTAAAAACACATGACTACCAGAGAGGCTACTTGGGAGAAGGAATATGAGATGAGACAATTATATCATGATTTATTCTAACTTATCTTGGTCTTAGAATGTCGAGGATAATATTTTTTTAAGGTGGGTGAAATATTATAACTAAAAAAAAAGAAGATACCTTTACCTATAACAGTAAAAAAATATTTCAAGAGTCATTATAAGTCCAAATCACAAACTGTGTTCATCAGAACATATATATTTTTGTGTTTTAGTTTCACTAATTTTTTATAATTTTGGGCACTAGTGTAATTCCTAATTCCTTAAGAAATTGACATATATTGATAAAAGATGGGCTTTCTAGGATCATTAGGTGTTCGTTTTGTAAATCAAGTTTACTTGATCAATCTAGACATGCTTAGATAACTTTTAAATATTTTTTTCATAATTTTTGAGTCTCTAGATTTGAAAATATAAATGGATTTATCATAATTTTTTTTCTAAAAATAGGAAAAATGGCTTAATTACCTTTATACACTGTTATTATTATATCATAAAATAAATATCCTTAAGCACATATGCCAATTCCCTTAAGTCATTTTGTTAACAGATAAATAATTTGGAAAACTGAGAGGAGAGAGAGAGAGAGAGAGACGAAAAGCTAACGTTTGGCTGTCGTAGAGTCATTTTCGTCAATCGGTATGGTTGAAAATTTTGCTCTTCTCGATGTAAGTTACGTTTATCTATTTTAGTTTTCAATAATTTGATATTTTTCAATCAAATTTATATTTCAGTTATCAAAATATGAGGATAACTTTATTTTGGTAAAGCTTTTACAGCATAATCTTTTATATGTTATATATATTGATATTATGAATATTTTAAGTATATTGTGAAAATTTTTACCAAGTAATTTTGAAAAAGTATACTTTTATTTTGACATCTAAAATAGTTATTCAGTTCAATTAAAACTTCGAAATGATATTTTGCACATTCTCTAGTAATTTGATTATATTTTAAAATAATGAATTTTTGTTCAGAAGTATTTATGTTGCCTAATATTGAAATATTTTGATAATTTTTAAATTTAATCTAATTATACTTTAATTAATAAAATGCATCAAAATATGTAAAATAAATGTGATATGATATGAAGTGATGTGATGTTATGCCATCGCTAGTGGGCAACTGAGTTGGGATTATGTTATGTCGACACAAGTGAGTGATCGAGGTGGTAATTTGTATGTCAGAGCGAGTGGGCGACTGAGGTAGGATTTTATTATGCCAGCACCAATGGGTGATTGAGATAGGATTATGTTATGTTGGGGCATGTGGCCTACCGATTTGGGATTTTATTATGTCGGTGCAAGTAGCGACTGAGTTGAGATTCTATTATGCCGATGCCAATGGGCAATCGAGGTGAGATTCTATTGTGCTGGTGCTAGTGAGCGATAGATGTTAAATTTTATTATGTCTGCGAGAGTGGGCGACTGATGTGAAATTTTGTTATGATATGTGTTAGGAAGTTGGGGCCTAATGGCTATTCTGAAAAATTACTATAAAACATTTGCTTATATTTAATTTCTATACAATTTATTGGTTAATTAAATGCATTTGGTATTAATATATATTTAAGTTTCAGCTTTTTTTACACTACTTTTTTTTTTTTGCACAATACTTTAGTTTATTATTACAGCATAGTATTTTAGTTCTATTGGTTTCAGTTATTGATTTTTGTTTCAGGCTACGGTAGCCTAATGAGCAGAGTTAGCTCATTTCTTCTTTTGCTTCTATTTTAAGGCCAAGGGAATGGTAAGTAGCAAGCTAAGCAGTTTGAAAAGCAAGCTCTGATATGTGCTTGTAGGTATGCCTTTTGGTTTGATTAGTTTTATTTTGCAAACTTGGTATGTATTTGGTTATATTATATATTGTCAAGTGTTGTTGTAGATACCTCAGATTGTATGTATTTGAATGTTATGTAGATTTTTTTTTTTTTTGAGATTTAATCTTCTATTTTATATTGTATTCAGTAGTGGCTCTGTGATATATTTAAATTAGAAGTTTTATTTTAGTACTTATTAATTGGATTTTGGGGTCAGTCTTGTCACAATCGGACACAATTTGACTTATGCAATTTTGAATCATATCGAGTCGG